TCATCCGGGCCTTGTGGAAATAGTCCTGCTGTAGTCCTCTGCATTTCATGATACCAAAGCTTCTCCCTGGTAGCAGTTTTTACTCATCAAAATTCCATCTCCAGGCACTCTCTAAAAATACTTCCCAAGGTAAATAATTCCTGGCTTTGTGCCATTCTTTTCTAAAATTCCAACATCTGAAGTGTTACAAGCACCTCGTAACTGCCATCTGGGGATGCAGCTGTCAGGAGATTTGAGAAGGTCACCCCCCTACATCACAGCTTTACAGGGACAGAGCACACCTAGGGCCTGTGTCGAGGTGGGGCCCAGTCTCCCTGACTTGCCTATTACTGGGCTCCATCTCAGCCTAAATGCCAGTGCTCAAAAGAACCATAGAGGCCTGATAGCAATTCCATTGTCCTCCCAATTTTCCTGAATGTTTTATCAGCTGCATCTTGAAACTGGAGAGATATGCCCACTCAACCACTATCTAGGCCAAAGGAAAACACAAAGACTGTCTCCACACAAGGCATTCAGGTGTTCCCTTTATTTCAGTTTTACACTCAGGGGTATCCAAGTTTACAATATTAAACTTTATAACTTCAACAAAACAACAAAACACAGCGTGAGACCTTATAAATAGTCCGCACAGTACATCATTCAAGTAATCAGTTATTATACATGGGTTTGCAGTCCTTAAGCAGAAAGACAATGCTCAAATTCAGCTCAGAGAGTAGCAGGAGAAAGGGCAAAAAGGAGAATTCAAATGCTCTAACACAAATGAAGAAAGTCATGTGGGGACAGCTTTCTACTCCCAACAAGGAACCACTGTATACAGGAACAAAAGGAAGGCCAACATCAATCTCCTTTCTAACATTTCATGTTGATTCTAATCTTAGAAAATACTCTCTGAAGGACTTATGGATATTTATGAAATATAGCCAAGGGAAATTAACATTTTTTCAAAACTTTGTACAGTTATAGTAAACCAAACACCATTTGTGCTGTTATAATTCAATATTTCAAGGAGACATAACATCGAGTGCTGCTTTATAGGGCAAAAAGAATATTTTGTCATACATTTTACTGCTCTTCCCTGCCCTGGAGAAAATGAGACTCCTGTAGTCAGAGGGTCAGAATAGTCTTCTTGCCAGGTGAGCTGCAATTGCCTGCATTGCAAAGGTTGGATAGGAGCAACTCCACCAGGCCACAGTAGTGAATTATATGCAGACACACAGTGGCTATACTGACTGACAGGAAACCAAAGCACACACAGCCCACACATCCCAGAGAGAGGCAACCAGAATCCAGGGAAGAAAGAACCCAGTCCTCACACAACATGAGACACTGTACTCTCAACATATTTGCTTTCATGAGCTGGGAAAGGGGTTTTGTACACTTTTTTAAAAGGAAGAGATCTGGCATAGTCTGCCAATCTAGGACACGAGGAGTGCCCTTTTGACAAAGGACAGAAGAAAAGCTGCACTGTCTTGTTGGAGAGCAAGAGAGACAACAGCATAGCTGGAGTGTTAACAACTTCCTTAGACACAGTCAGAAATGACCATGACAGCAGAAACATACTATTGCCTCAGTGAGAGAACCAGAGTTGCTTTTGTTTGCTTGTTTGCGTTTTGGAGTAGAAGACAATTTTTTAGTCTAACTAAGAATTTGCAGCAAGTTGATTACACAAATTGAAAATACAACTTTAGTCTGGAGGTACCACTGCCACATGCTGCAACCTGGATCATCTCCTCCCATGATACATGAAGCCTCTGGCTGTGCAGAACTCACGTTAGTTAAAGGAAAGAGCGTTGAACTGTCCTGCAGAGAGAGTCCCAGCATTGTCTGGGGCCATGTCCTCTGTGCTGACAGGGACACAGGGGAAATCCTGTTCCTCATCGGGGCCCTGGCCCAGGGCGCAGTGCTGTGGGGGCAGGCTGGGCAGGATGGGCCTGAGGAATTTGAACTCGCTGTTGCCCGAGCCCGTTGTGAGGCTGATCTCGTAGCAATAGGCGCGGGGCAGGGTCCCTGCAGCGGCTGCATCGGCCAGGCCGCTCTGCAAGTTGTCGGCACCATAGAGCACATGGCCAGCCTCCAGCTCCTTTCTCCTGCACGCCTTGCGAGCCACAAAGACTGCGCTGGAGATGAGGAAGAGCAGTGAGACAAAGACCAAGGAAATGATTAAATAGGTGGTCAGGGAGCCGTCCTGATCCTCTGGGGCCGGGCTGCTGTGCGGGAGGCGCACGTCTGAGAAGTCCTTGAGCAGGAGAGCGCTCAGGGCTGCCGTGGCTGACAGTGGGGGCTTGCCGTTGTCTCTGACCAGGACAACCAGCTTCTGCTTCACGCTGTCTCTCTCTGTCACCGGCCTCCTCAGACGCACCTCCCCGCTTTGGACAGCCACCGAAAACAGCCCTGGGTCGGTGGCCCTCAGCAGGTGGTAGGAGAGCCAGGAGTTCTGTCCCGAGTCGGCATCGACGGCCACCACTTTGCCGATGAGGTAGCCCGCCTCAGCCGACACGGGCACCAGCTCGCTGGACGCTGGGCTGCCGTCCTGGGCCGGGTAGAGCACGAGCGGAGCGTTGTCATTCTCGTCCAGCACGACCAGGCGGACGGTGACATTGGCTCTGAGGGGAGGAGAGCCCGCGTCAGAGGCACTGACCGTCACCTCCGTCTGCCTCAAGTGCTCGTAGTCCAGGGGCCGCAGCACAAACACGTGTCCGTTCTCAGAGTTCACCGAGATGCAGGAGCACGAGGGCCGCTCTGCCCCTTGCTCTGGTGCCAGGGAATAGGTCACCTTGGCATTGAGCCCCACGTCAGCATCCCCAGCACTGACGGCCCCAACAAACACCGTGGGGACGTTGTTCTCACGCACGTACATGGTGTAGGAGGTCTGGTTGAAGACGGGGGCATTGTCATTGACATCGGAGATGTCCACGGTGAAGGTCTGGGTGCTTGTGAGAGGAGGCGACCCCGCATCTGCTGCCGTGACACTCAGGATGTACTGAGGCGTCTCCTCGCGGTCCAGCGCGCTCACTGTCACCAGCTCATAGTAATTCTTATAGGCTGGCCGCAGGGAGAAGGAGAGCTGATCCTCGAGGGCACAGGAGATCTTCCCGTTGGCACCAGAATCCCGGTCCCTAACCGAGAACAGGGCAACCACCGTGCCGGGCACTGTGTTCTCGGGGATGGGACTGCTGAAGGAACTGACCACCAGCTCTGGGGCATTGTCGTTCACATCCACCACCTCCACCAACACTTTGCAGATGGCTGAGAGCCCCCCACCATCTCTGGCCCTTACAGTGAGCTCATGAGTTTCTACTGCCTCAAAGTCCAGAGGTTTTGTGAGTTTAATTTCACCAGTTATGGGATCAATCACAAATGCTGAGTCACTCTGTCCCACTGCCTGGCTGAACTGGTAGGAGATTTTTCCATTAATTCCTGCATCCCGGTCAGTTGCCAGCACAGTGAGAACCACAGAGCCTTCTGGCATGTTCTCCAGGACCTGTGCAATATATTCCTCCTGTGTGAATATGGGAGCATTGTCATTTACATCCAGAATGTCAATTTTCACTTGGGTGGTGCCGCTCCTGGGAGGAGAGCCCCCATCCAGAGCAATAACACTGAAACCCATCTCTGCATGTTCCTCTCTGTCTAGTGGCTTTTCCAAAACAAGTTCAAGAGACTTCTTGCCAGTAATGCGACTCCCAGAGGAGACACTAAAATACTCGTTTTCGGGAGAGATACTGTACTCCTGGACTGTGTTGCTGCCAATATCGAGGTCCCTAGCAACCTCAAGCAGAAATCGAGAGCCTGGCTCGCTCAGCTCTGGAATCTGAAAAGTGACTCGTTCCTCGGGAAAGACGGGTGAATGGTCATTGATATCGTCCAGAGTCACCTCGACCCGAAAGAACTGCAGGGGGCTGGAGAGCAGCAGCTCGAAGGGGAGCATGCAGGTGGCGGCCTGGCCGCACAGCTCCTCCCGGTCCAGCCTCCCCGCCACGACGAGGCGGCCGGAGGCGCGCTCGAAGCGAAAATGCTGCCGGCCGTCCTCCGAGACCAGGCGGGCGCGGCGAGCCGAGAGCTGCGCCGGCGTCAGCCCCGCGTCCTCCGCCAGCTTGCCCACCAGGGAGCCGCTTTCCGCCTCCTCGGCTACGGAGTAGCGGATGGGCTCGGCGCGAGCGAGCGGCAGCGAGAGGAAAGCAGAGAGACAAAGCACTTGCCTTGCGAGCGCCATGGCGCGGCGGCGGCGGCGGCGGCGGCGGCGGCGGCGGCGGGGCCGGGGTCGGTCTGGCGGCTGTGCCGGCGGATTCCCCGCGGAAAGCGGCGAAGTGCGGGCCGGGCGCCTTCCCTCGCTCTGTGATATTCCGGCCGGCGGCCCGAAACGCAGCCGGGGTGTCCCGGCAGCGGGTGACACGGGACAGCGCGCGCTGCCGCAGTCACAGCCACCTCCGCCCGGCTGTGCCGGGCTGATCTAAGCCGGGCTGCGCTCGGCAGGGCTGGGCTGGCTGGTCTAAGCCGAAATGAGCTGAGCTGCGCTGGTCTAAGGCGAACCGAGCAGGGCTGGGCTGGGCTGGGCTGGGCCGGGCCGGGCTCGGCCGCCTCCGCTGCCGCAGCCGCTCGGCGCCGCCTTGGCCGAGGGCACCACCCAGCGGTGCGCGCTGGGACTGCAGCCGCCGCCGCCCGCAGCCCGCGCTGCCGCTCGGCCCGGCCGCGGTTCCGAACCCGCCGAGACCGCCGCGACCAAGAACCGAACGCCGCCTCCACCGGGACAGCCCAAAGCCGAGGCTGAGCCCACAGCGACCAAGGTAGATAGGCCGGCAGGAGAAACCGCGCAGGGTTAGGGCGGTGGTTACAGCATGGGCTTGTCAATGAACACTGTCCCGGCTGCGTTCTCCACGCTCAGGCACTGTACCCACCCAACATTGATTGAGGCAAGGGACATAGTGAGAAAAAGACTGGCAGAATTTTGCACAGCCTTGATGCCGTTTTAGGAAAGAACATCTCTACAAAAACTTCTCCAATGTTCTTCAGCTGTTCTCTTTATTTTGCTTCTATATATTTTTTTCAATTGTCCGTAGAGAGAGGCTTTCTGAATATTCCATGCATCAAAGACATCATTAAAATAACCACTTGATATATATGGTGTGGCAGTCCTTTTCTAGATCAACGAGCAAAGTACTGCTCCGTACATTTCAGAGGGTCAAAGGAGAATCTGGCAAAATGGGAATGCAAATCCTCTAACACAAAAGGAGATAATCCTTTACGGACAGATTTCTACTCCCAAAGAGAAACAATTGTATTCAGAAACAAGAATGAAAACCAAATCTCAAAGTCCTGTTTTTAAATTCTTCTTAATTCTAACTTCAGAAAATTATTTTTGATGGACATGTGGTGTTTTCATGCATGTACAGACAATTGACACGTTTTCATGACTCTCTACAGTTACAGCCTACCCTAACACATCTTCTATTGCTGTATTTCCAAGGCAATCTGAGGGGGACAGAATACCAAACCCACACATGGGCCAAGAGAAGATTTTGTTGTGCATTTTCCAGCTCCTCTCTGCCTTGAAGAACCTGAGACCCCTGTATTCATAGGGTCAAAATATTCTTTTGCTCTGCAGAGCCGGAATTGCCAGCATTGCAATGGCTGGATGGGACAAATTCACAGTTTCATTGGGCCGAAGTAGTGAAGCATCTGCAGATGCACAATGTTTGTACAAAAAGACATACTGAAAAAAAGCATAGCATGCAGAGCCCACACATCTCAGACAAACATCCAGAACTCCATAAAGAAAAAGTCCCATGCTCACGGAACATCATGATGTAGTATTTTGTACTACCTTGTTTTTCTGACCTTGGAAAAGGGCTTTGTGTCATTTTAGCAAGTGTGAAATTTGTCTGTCAACTGTGCCATTGTGATATAAGAATTAACAGGAGTTTCATGGCTAATTTGATAAAAACATAAACAGGAGCATAGATGGAGTGGTAATGCCATTCATAAACCCCATAAGAAATGGCCATAAGAGAACAGAAGTATCTGACTGGTGAAGGGAAAATTGCCTTTCTTGTATTTTCTTATTTCTGTGTTTGGAGAAGCTGGAAAGTATTACTCTGACTAAGAAAGTGAGTGAAATTGATTATGCCAATTGAAAACACAGGTTTTCTCTGGACGAATAACTGCCACAGGTTAAAGTCTGAATCTCGTTCTATCATAAGGCATAAAATTTCTGACTGTGCAAACCAAAGCTAGTCAAAAGAAAGGGCGTTGAACTGTCCTGCAGTGAGAGTCCCAGCATTGTCTGGGGCCATGTCCTCTGTGCTGACAGGGACACAGGGGAAATCCTGTTCCTCATCGGGGCCCTGGCCCAGGGCGCAGTGCTGTGGGGGCAGGCTGGGCAGGATGGGCCTGAGGAATTTGAACTCGCTGTTGCCCGAGCCCGTGGTGAGGCTGATCTCGTAGCAATAGGCGCGGGGCAGGGTCCCTGCAGCGGCTGCATCGGCCAGGCCGCTCTGCAAGTTGTCGGCACCATAGAGCACATGGCCAGCCTCCAGCTCCTTTCTCCTGCACGCCTTGCGAGCCACAAAGACTGCGCTGGAGATGAGGAAGAGCAGTGAGACAAAGACCAAGGAAATGATTAAATAGGTGGTCAGGGAGCCGTCCTGATCCTCTGGGGCCGGGCTGCTGTGCGGGAGGCGCACGTCTGAGAAGTCCTTGAGCAGGAGAGCGCTCAGGGCTGCCGTGGCTGACAGTGGGGGCTTGCCGTTGTCTCTGACCAGGACAACCAGCTTCTGCTTCACGCTGTCTCTCTCTGTCACCGGCCTCCTCAGACGCACCTCCCCGCTTTGGACAGCCACCGAAAACAGCCCTGGGTCGGTGGCCCTCAGCAGGTGGTAGGAGAGCCAGGAGTTCTGTCCCGAGTCGGCATCGACGGCCACCACTTTGCCGATGAGGTAGCCCGCCTCAGCCCACACGGGCACCAGCTCGCTGGACGCTGGGCTGCCGTCCTGGGCCGGGTAGAGCACGAGCGGAGCGTTGTCATTCTCGTCCAGCACGACCAGGCGGACGGTGACGTTGGCTCTGAGGGGAGGAGAGCCCGCGTCACAGGCACTGACCGTCACCTCCGTCTGCCTCAAGTGCTCGTAGTCCAGGGGCCGCAGCACAAACACGTGTCCGTTCTCAGAGTTCACCGAGATGCAGGAGCACGAGGGCCGCTCTGCCCCTTGCTCTGGTGCCAGGGAATAGGTCACCTTGGCATTGAGCCCCACGTCAGCATCCCCAGCACTGACGGCCCCAACAAACACCGTGGGCACGTTGTTCTCATGCACGTACATGGTGTAGGAGGTCTGGTTGAAGACGGGGGCATTGTCATTGACATCGGAGATGTCCACGGTGAAGGTCTGGGTGCTGGTGAGAGGAGGCGACCCCGCATCTGCTGCCGTGACACTCAGGATGTACTGAGGCGTCTCCTCGCGGTCCAGCGCGCTCACTGTCACCAGCTCATAGTAATTCTTATAGGCTGGCCGCAGGGAGAAGGAGAGCTGATCCTCGAGGGCACAGGAGATCTTCCCGTTGGCACCAGAATCCCGGTCCCTCACCGAGAACAGGGCAACCACCGTGCCAGGCACTGTGTTCTCGGGGATGGGACTGCTGAAGGAACTGACCACCAGCTCTGGGGCATTGTCGTTCACATCCACCACCTCCACCAACACTTTGCAGATGGCTGAGAGTCCCCCTCCATCTGTAGCCCTCACACTCATCTCATGACTTTCTGCTGCCTCAAAGTCCAGAGGTTTTGTGAGTTTAATTGCACCAGTTATGGGATCAATCAAAAATGCTGAGTCACTTTTGCCCACTGCCTGGCTGAGTTGATAGGTGATGTCCCCATTAACTCCTGCATCCTGATCAGTTGCCAGCACAGTCAGAACCACAGAGCCTTCTGGCATGTTCTCCAGCACCTGTGCAATATATTCCTCCTGTGTGAATATGGGAGCATTGTCATTTACATCCAGAATGAATATTTTCACATGGGTGGTGCCGCTCCTGGGAGGAGAGCCCCCATCCAGAGCAATAACACTGAAACCCATCTCTGCATGTTCCTCTCTGTCTAATGGCTTTTCCAAAACAAGTTCAAGAGACTTCTTGCCTGTAATGCGACTCCCATAGGAGACACGAAAATACTCGTTCTCGGGAGAGATGCTGTACTCCTGGACTGTGTTGCTGCCAATATCGAGGTCCTGAGCAGCCTCCATTGGGAAACAAGAGCCTGGCTCGCTCGTCTCTGGAATCTTAAAAGTGACTCGTTCCTCGGGAAAGACGGGTGAATGGTCATTGATATCGTCCAGAGTCACCTCGACCCGAAAGAACTGCAGGGGGCTGGAGAGCAGCAGCTCGAAGGGGAGCATGCAGGTGGCGGCCTGGCCGCACAGCTCCTCCCGGTCCAGCCTCCCCGCCACGACGAGGCGGCCGGAGGCGCGCTCGAAGCGAAAATGCTGCCGGCCGTCCTCCGAGACCAGGCGGGCGCGGCGAGCCGAGAGCTGCGCCGGCGTCAGCCCCGCGTCCTCCGCCAGCTTGCCCACCAGGGAGCCGCTTTCCGCCTCCTCGGCTACGGAGTAGCGGATGGGCTCGGCGCGAGCGAGCGGCAGCGAGAGGAAAGCAGAGAGACAAAGCACTTGCCTTGCGAGCGCCATGGCGCGGCGGCGGCGGCGGCGGCGGCGGCGGCGGCGGCGGCGGCGGCGGCGGGGCCGGGGTCGGTCTGGCGGCTGTGCCGGCGGATTCCCCGCGGAAAGCGGCGAAGTGCGGGCCGGGCGTCTTCCCTCGCTCTGTGATATTCCGGCCGGCGGCCCGAAACGCAGCCGGGGTGTCCCGGCAGCGGGTGACACGGGACAGCGCGCGCTGCCGCTGTCACAGCCACCTCCGCCCGGCTGTGCCGGGCTGATCTAAGCGGGGCTGCGCTCGGCAGGGCTGGGCTGGCTGGTCTAAGCCGAAATGAGCTGAGCTGCGCTGGTCTAAGGCGAACCGAGCAGGGCTGGGCTGGGCTGGGCTGGGCCGGGCCGGGCTCGGCCGCCTCCGCTGCCGCAGCCGCTCGGCGCCGCCTTGGCCGAGGGCACCACCCAGCGGTGCGCGCTGGGACTGCAGCCGCCGCCGCCCGCAGCCCGCGCTGCCGCTCGGCCCGGCCGCGGTTCCGAACCCGCCGAGACCGCCGCGACCAAGAACCGAACGCCGCCTCCACCGGGACAGCCCAAAGCCGAGGCTGAGTCCCGAAGGACAGAGTTTCATCCCTCAGCAGGAGAAACCGAGCACAGATAGGGCGATGGTGACAGCACGGCTGTGCCAATGGGCACACTCCCGTCTGTATTTTCACACTCAGAATCTGTACCCACCCGACATTCCTTCAGACAAGTAACACAGTGGGAAAGTAACTGGCACAATTTTGAAAAGTCTTGGCAGTACTTGCCCAGAAAGAACGTCTCCACAAAGACTTCTGTCTCCACAAAAGGAGTCACTGTGTTCTCTTTATTTCAAGCTAACACATCTTCTCAGTTTCTACTCTCAAAGTTATGTCAATTTACAATGTCTAATTTCAGCACACCACAGCGTGAGGGAGACTTTCTGAATATTTCATGCATCACAGACATCATTCACACAAACAGCTATTCTTGATGGGGTGGCCGTCCTTCTTTAGAGGCTCAGTACAGTGTTCAGTACATTTCAGCGGAGAAAGGGCAAACATGGGACTACAAATTCTCTAACAAAAACACAGAAAACCATGCGGGCACAGCTTTCTAGTCCTATCAAGAAGTATTTGCATTCAAGAACTACACTGAAAAGACCAATCTCAATGTCTTTTTAAATAAAATTCTTCTTGCATCTACCTTCCAGTAACTGAGTTTCTGTAATTGTGGAGTTTTCCTTCAAATGCATTCAATGGCAATGAACGTGATTCTACAGCTCTATTCAATTACAGTCTACCCTATCATTGTTTGTGATCCTGTATTTCCAAGGCATACCTGAGGTGACAGAACATTCAAGCTCTTCTTCTGCACCAAGGAAGACTTTGATGTGCATTTTGCTGTCCTGCTGTGAGCTAGATAAGGAAGGCGGGACTGCTGTTGTGAAAGGGTCCAAATTAACTCCTTCCCTGCTGAGCTGGCATTGCCTGTCTTGTAATGGCTGGGTGGGAGCAACTCCACCAGGCCACAATACTGAAGTATCTGCAAATATTCAGTGTCTGAAAGAACAAGAAAGCTTGTCTTGTCTGTCATAGTGACAAGAAAGCAAAGCTCACAGAGCCCTCATCGAAGACAGAGACATCCAGAGTCCAGGCAAGAAAGGGCCGAGTACCCATTGCATCCCAGTACTCGCAATTTCCCTGTCCTCATGAAGTGCAAAAATGGCTTTTTGCATTTCATTGAGGATATGATTTGCTTGGCAACCAGTGACATTGTATAAAGATGAGAATAAAAACATACTATGACTATTCAGACAGGAAGAGAAACAAGAACACAGCTGCGAGTGCTAACCCGATAGTTAAAGCCTGTAAGAAATGGCAGTAAAAGAGCTGAAACAAATTATTAAATAAGTGAAAGAAACCTTGCCATATTACTTCTGTCATTGTTCTTTGGAATGGCAGACTGTGTATATTCTGAATGGAATTTCCAAAAAGTTAGTTGAACCAACCCCAAACACAAATACACTGTGGAAGAACCATGGCCACATGCTGCAACATGGATCATCTCCTCCCATGGGCCATGAAGCCTCTGGCTGTGCAGAACCCATGTTAGTCAAAGGAAAGTGCGTTGAACTGTCCTGCAGTGAGAGTCCCAGCATTGTCTGGGGCCATGTCCTCTGTGCTGACAGGGACACAGGGGAAATCCTGTTCCTCATCGGGGCCCTGGCCCAGGGCGCAGTGCTGTGGGGGCAGGCTGGGCAGGATGGGCCTGAGGAATTTGAACTCGCTGTTGCCCGAGCCCGTTGTGAGGCTGATCTCGTAGCAATAGGCGCGGGGCAGGGTCCCTGCAGCGGCTGCATCGGCCAGGCCGCTCTGCAAGTTGTCGGCACCATAGAGCACATGGCCAGCCTCCAGCTCCTTTCTCCTGCACGCCTTGCGAGCCACAAAGACTGCGCTGGAGATGAGGAAGAGCAGTGAGACAAAGACCAAGGAAATGATTAAATAGGTGGTCAGGGAGCCGTCCTGATCCTCTGGGGCCGGGCTGCTGTGCGGGAGGCGCACGTCTGAGAAGTCCTTGAGCAGGAGAGCGCTCAGGGCTGCCGTGGCTGACAGTGGGGGCTTGCCGTTGTCTCTGACCAGGACAACCAGCTTCTGCTTCACGCTGTCTCTCTCTGTCACCGGCCTCCTCAGACGCACCTCCCCGCTTTGGACAGCCACCGAAAACAGCCCTGGGTCGGTGGCCCTCAGCAGGTGGTAGGAGAGCCAGGAGTTCTGTCCCGAGTCGGCATCGACGGCCACCACTTTGCCGATGAGGTAGCCCGCCTCAGCCCACACGGGCACCAGCTCGCTGGACGCTGGGCTGCCGTCCTGGGCCGGGTAGAGCACGAGCGGAGCGTTGTCATTCTCGTCCAGCACGACCAGGCGGACGGTGACGTTGGCTCTGAGGGGAGGAGAGCCCGCGTCACAGGCACTGACCGTCACCTCCGTCTGCCTCAAGTGCTCGTAGTCCAGGGGCCGCAGCACAAACACGTGTCCGTTCTCAGAGTTCACCGAGATGCAGGAGCACGAGGGCCGCTCTGCCCCTTGCTCTGGTGCCAGGGAATAGGTCACCTTGGCATTGAGCCCCACGTCAGCATCCCCAGCACTGATGGCCCCAACAAACACCGTGGGGACGTTGTTCTCACGCACGTACATGGTGTAGGAGGTCTGGTTGAAGACGGGGGCATTGTCATTGACATCGGAGATGTCCACGGTGAAGGTCTGGGTGCTTGTGAGAGGAGGCGACCCCGCATCTGCTGCCGTGACACTCAGGATGTACTGAGGCATCTCCTCGCGGTCCAGCGCGCTCACTGTCACCAGCTCATAGTAATTCTTATAGGCTGGCCGCAGGGAGAAGGAGAGCTGATCCTCGAGGGCACAGGAGATCTTCCCGTTGGCACCAGAATCCCGGTCCCTCACCGAGAACAGGGCAACCACCGTGCCAGGCACTGTGTTCTCGGGGATGGGACTGCTGAAGGAACTGACCACCAGCTCTGGGACATTGTCGTTCACATCCACCACCTCCACCAACACTTTGCAGATGGCTGAGAGACCCCCTCCGTCTGTAGCCCTCACACTCATCTCATGACGTTCTGCTGCCTCAAAGTCTAATGGTTTTCTGAGTTTAATTTCACCAGTTATGGGATCAATCACAAATGCTGAGTCACTCTGTCCCACTTCCAGGCTGAGCTGATAGGAGATGTCTCCATTAACTCCTGCATCCTGATCAGTTGCCAGCACAGTCAGAACCACAGAGCCTTCTGGCATGTTTTCCATAATCCTCCCAATATAACGATCTTGTGTGAAGATGGGAGCATTGTCATTTGCATCTAGAATGATAATAGAGATCTCGATGGTCCCACTTCTGGGAGGAGAGCCCCCATCCACGGCAATAACACTGAAACCCATCTCTGCCTCTTCCTCTCTGTCTAGTGGCCTATCCAAAACAAGGTCAAGATATTTGTCACCATTACTCCGACTTCCATAAGAGACACTGAAAAGCTTACTCTTCGGAGAGATCCTGTACTCCTGGGCTGTGTTGCTGCCAATATCGTGGTCCCGAGCCACCTCCAGGGGGAAACGAGAGCCTGGCTCGCTCGTCTCTGGAATCTTAAAAGTGACTCGTTCCTCGGGAAAGACGGGTGAATGGTCATTGATATCGTCCAGAGTCACCTCGACCCGAAAGAACTGCAGGGGGTTGGAGAGCAGCAGCTCGAAGGGGAGCATGCAGGTGGCGGCCTGGCCGCACAGCTCCTCCCGGTCCAGCCTCCCCGCCACGACGAGGCGGCCGGAGGCGCGCTCGAAGCGAAAATGCTGCCGGCCGTCCTCCGAGACCAGGCGGGCGCGGCGAGCCGAGAGCTGCGCCGGCGTCAGCCCCGCGTCCTCCGCCAGCTTGCCCACCAGGGAGCCGCTTTCCGCCTCCTCGGCTACGGAGTAGCGGATGGGCTCGGCGCGAGCGAGCGGCAGCGAGAGGAAAGCAGAGAGACAAAGCACTTGCCTTGCGAGCGCCATGGCGCGGCGGCGGCGGCGGCGGCGGCGGCGGCGGCGGGGCCGGGGTCGGTCTGGCGGCTGTGCCGGCGGATTCCCCGCGGAAAGCGGCGAAGTGCGGGCCGGGCGCCTTCCCTCGCTCTGTGATATTCCGGCCGGCGGCCCGAAACGCAGCCGGGGTGTCCCGGCAGCGGGTGACACGGGACAGCGCGCGCTGCCGCAGTCACAGCCACCTCCGCCCGGCTGTGCCGGGCTGATCTAAGCCGGGCTGCGCTCGGCAGGGCTGGGCTGGCTGGTCTAAGCCGAAATGAGCTGAGCTGCGCTGGTCTAAGGCGAACCGAGCAGGGCTGGGCTGGGCTGGGCTGGGCCGGGCCGGGCTCGGCCGCCTCCGCTGCCGCAGCCGCTCGGCGCCGCCTTGGCCGAGGGCACCACCCAGCGGTGCGCGCTGGGACTGCAGCCGCCGCCGCCCGCAGCCCGCGCTGCCGCTCGGCCCGGCCGCGGTTCCGAACCCGCCGAGACCGCCGCGACCAAGAACCGAACGCCGCCTCCACCGGGACAGCCCAAAGCCGAGGCTGAGCCTAGAAGGACAGAATTTCATCACTCAGCAGGAGAAACCGAGCAGAGATAGGGTGATGGTGACAGCACGGACATGCCAATGGGCACTCTCCCGGCTGTATTTCCACACTCAGGATCTGTACCCACCCAACATTCCTTCAGACAAGGGACACAGTGGGAATGTAACTGGCAGAATTTTGAAAAGTCTTGGCAGGGCTTTCCCAGAAACAACGTCTCTACAAAGACTTCTGTCTCCACAAAAGGAGTCACTGTGTTCTCTTTATTTCAAGCTAACACATCTTTTCAGTTTCTACTCTCAAAGTTATACCAATTTACAGTCTTAAACTGTCTAATTTCAGCAAACCACAGCGTGAGGGAGACTTTCTGAATATTTCATGCATCACAGACATCATGCACACAACCAGCTATTCTTGATGGGGTGGCAGTCGTTCATTAGAGGCGCAGTATAGTGTTCAGTACATTTCAGCGGAGAAAGGGCAAACATGGGACTGACAATTCCCTAACACAAACACAGAAAACCATGCGGGGACAGCTTTCTAGTCGCATCAAGAAGTATTTGGATTCAAGAACAACAATGAAAAGACCAATCTCAATGTCTTTTTAAATAAAATTCTTCTTGCATCTACCTTCCAGTAACTGAGTTTCCATAATTGTGGAGTTTTCCTTCAAATGCATTCAATGGCAATGAACATGATTCTACAGCTCTATTCAAATATAGTCTACCCTATCATTGTTTGTGATCCTGTATTTCCATGGCAATCCTGAGGTGACAGAACATTCAAGCTCTTCTTCTACACCAAGGAAGACTTTGATGTGCATTTTGCTGTCCTGCTGTGAGCTAGATAAGGAAGGCGGGACTGCTGTTGTGAAAGGGTCCAAATTAACTCCTTCCCTGCTGAGCTGGCATTGCCTGTCTTGTATTGGCTGGGTGGGAGCAACTCCACCAGGCCACAATACGGAAGCATCTGCAAATATTCAGTGTCTGAATGAACAAGAAAGTATGTCTTGTCTCTCATAGTGACAAGAAAGCAAAGCTCACAGAGCCCTCATGGAAGACAGAAATCCAGAGTCCAGGCAAGAAAGGGCCGAGTACCCATATGATATTGCATCCAAGTACTCGCAACTTCCTTGTCCTCATGAAGTGAAAAAATGGCTTTTTGCATTTCATTGAATATATGATTTGTTTGGCAACCAGGGACATTGTATAAAGATGAGAATAAAAAAATACTATGACTATTGTGACAGGAAGAGAAACAAGAACACAGCTGCGAGTGCTAACCAGACAGTTAAAGCCTGTAAGAAATGGCAGTAAAAGAGCTGAAACAAATTATTAAATAAGTGAGAGAAGCCTTGCCATATTACTTCTGTCGTTGTTCTTTGGAGTGGCAGACTGTATATTCTAAATGGAATTTCCAAAAAGTTAGTTGAACCAACCCCAAACACAAATACACTGTGGAAGAACCATGGCCACATGCTCCAACATGGATCCCTCCTCCCATGGGCCATGAAGCCTCTGGCTATGCAGAACTCATGTTAGTCAAAGGAAAGAGCGTTGAACTGTCCTGCAGAGAGAGTCCCAGCATTGTCTGGGGCTGTGTCCTCTGTGCTGACAGGGACACAGGGGAAATCCTGTTCCTCATCGGGGCCCTGGCCCAGGGCGCAGTGCTGTGGGGGCAGGCTGGGCAGGATGGGCCTGAGGAATTTGAACTCGCTGTTGCCCGAGCCCGTTGTGAGGCTGATCTCGTAGCAATAGGCGCGGGGCAGGGTCCCTGCAGCGGCTGCATCGGCCAGGCCGCTCTGCAAGTTGTCGGCACCATAGAGCACATGGCCAGCCTCCAGCTCCTTTCTCCTGCACGCCTTGCGAGCCACAAAGACTGCGCTGGAGATGAGGAAGAGCAGTGAGACAAAGACCAAGGAAATGATTAAATAGGTGGTCAGGGAGCCGTCCTGATCCTCTGGGGCCGGGCTGCTGTGCGGGAGGCGCACGTCTGAGAAGTCCTTGAGCAGGAGAGCGCTCAGGGCTGCCGTGGCTGACAGTGGGGGCTTGCCGTTGTCTCTGACCAGGACAACCAGCTTCTGCTTCACGCTGTCTCTCTCTGTCACCGGCCTCCTCAGACGCACCTCCCCGCTTTGGACAGCCACCGAAAACAGCCCTGGGTCGGTGGCCCTCAGCAGGTGGTAGGAGAGCCAGGAGTTCTGTCCCGAGTCGGCATCGACGGCCACCACTTTGCCGATGAGGTAGCCCGCCTCAGCCCACACAGGCACCAGCTCGCTGGACGCTGGGCTGCCGTCCTGGGCCGGGTAGAGCACGAGCGGAGCGTTGTCATTCTCGTCCAGCACGACCAGGCGGACGGTGACATTGGCTCTGAGGGGAGGAGAGCCCGCGTCAGAGGCACTGACCGTCACCTCCGTCTGCCTCAAGTGCTCGTAGTCCAGGGGCCGCAGCACAAACACGTGTCCGTTCTCAGAGTTCACCGAGATGCAGGAGCACGAGGGCCGCTCTGCCCCTTGCTCTGGTGCCAGGGAATAGGTCACCTTGGCATTGAGCCCCACGTCAGCATCCCCAGCACTGACGGCCCCAACAAACACCGTGGGGACGTTGTTCTCACGCACGTACATGGTGTAGGAGGTCTGGTTGAAGACGGGGGCATTGTCATTGACATCGGAGATGTCCACGGTGAAGGTCTGGGTGCTTGTGAGAGGAGGCGACCCCGCATCTGCTGCCGTGACACTCAGGATGTACTGAGGCGTCTCCTCGCGGTCCAGCATGCTCACTGTCACCAGCTCATAGTAATTCTTATAGGCTGGCCACAGGGAGAAGGAGAGCTGATCCTCGAGGGCACAGGAGATCTTCCCGTTGGCACCAGAATCCCGGTCCCTCACCGAGAACAGGGCAACCACCGTGCCGGGCACTGTGTTCTCGGGGATGGGACTGCTGAAGGAACTGACCACCAGCTCTGGGGCATTGTCGTTCACATCCACCACCTCCACCAACACTTTGCAGATGGATGAGAGGCCCCCACCGTCTGTAGCCCTCACAATCAGCTCGTGAGTTTCTGCTGCCTCAAAATCCAGAGGTTTGGTGATTTTAATTTCACCAGTTATGGGATCAATCAAAAATGCTGAGTCACTCTGGCCCACTGCCTGGTTGAGTTGATAGGAAATGACCCCATTAACTCCTGCATCCTGATCAGTTGCCTGCACAGTCAGAACCACAGAGCCTTCTGGCGTGTTCTCCAACACCTTTCCAATGTAGCGCTCTTGCGTGAAGGTGGGAACATTGTCATTTACATCTAGAATGATAATAGAGATCTCAATAGTCCCACTTCTGGGAGGAGAACCCCCATCCACGGCAATAACAGTGAAACCCATCTCTGCATGTTCCTCTCTGTCTAGTGGCTTCTCCAGAACAAGTTCAACATATTTGTCACCAGTACTCCGACTTCCATAAGAGACACTGAAATACTCGTTCTGGGGAAAGATGCTGTACTCCTGGACTGTGTTGCTGCCTATATCCAGGTCCTGAGCAGCCTCCATTGGGAAAAGTGAACCCGGGTCGCTCTTTTCAGGGATGCTAAAATAGACTCGATCTTCTCGGAACACAGGAGAATGGTCATTGATATCGTCCAGAGTCACCTCGACCCGAAAGAACTGCAGGGGGCTGGAGAGCAGCAGCTCGAAGGGGAGCATGCAGGTGGCGGCCTGGCCGCACAGCTCCTCCCGGTCCAGCCTCCCCGCCACGACGAGGCGGCCGGAGGCGCGCTCGAAGCGAAAATGCTGCCGGCCGTCCTCCGAGACCAGGCGGGCGCGGCGAGCCGAGAGCTGCGCCGGCGTCAGCCCCGCGTCCTCCGCCAGCTTGCCCACCAGGGAGCCGCTTTCCGCCTCCTCGGCTACGGAGTAGCGGATGGGCTCGGCGCGAGCGAGCGGCAGCGAGAGGAAAGCAGAGAGACAAAGCACTTGCCTTGCGAGCGCCATGGCGCGGCGGCGGCGGCGGCGGCGGCGGCGGCGGGGCCGGGGTCGGTCTGGCGGCTGTGCCGGCGGATTCCCCGCGGAAAGTGGCGAAGTGCGGGCCGGGCGCCTTCCCTCGCTCTGTGATATTCCGGCCGGCGGCCCGAAACGCAGCCGGGGTGTCCCGGCAGCGGGTGACACGGGACAGCGCGCGCTGCCGCTGTCACAGCCACCTCCGCCCGGCTGTGCCGGGCTGATCTAAGCGGGGCTGCGCTCGGCAGGGCCGGGCTGGCTGGTCTAAGCCGAAATGAGCGGAGCTGCGCTGGTCTAAGGCGAACCGAGCAGGGCTGGGCTGGGCTGGGCTGGGCCGGGCCGGGCTCGGCCGCCTCCGCTGCCGCAGCCGCTCGGCGCCGCCTTGGCCGAGGGCACCACCCAGCGGTGCGCGCTGGAACTGCAGCCGCCGCCGCTCGGCCCGGCCCGTGGAGCCGCGCGCACCGCGGGGACTCCTGCGGCAGGATGCGCTCCCATCCTCCGGGGAGAGAAGCGCTAGGGAGGATAGGCAGTAGCCCTGGTAGAGTTCTGTAGCCAGAGCATCCCCAGCAGCTGCTCCGCTTCCAGTCTTCTCCCCTCGCTGGACTCGAGCTCCCGGTCTGGTGTGTTCTTGTCTAGCGATAGGCGCGTCTGCAACGACCGAGAAACGCAGCGGCAAGAGTGGCACAACGATTTTCCAGGGCAGTATGAGGCAGAGGCTGACTTTGGACCGGCTGAGCCGCCTTCCCCTGCAGAAGTAACCGGCCTGGAGCCTAAGAGGGGGAGTGTATGCCTATAATAGCAAGGAACGGCACTACAGCTACTGGGGAATCTCAGGCTGAGGACTGGGAAGGGTGCTGCGTCCCAGCACGGCTCAGGCATGGACGCGCACGCCTACTGGCCAGTCTCGCGGCTAAAAAGGAGGAGTGACTGTTCTCCTCGCCTGGGCTTCCCTGTCGCAAGGAGGCTGCGAGTGGCGCAGCAGCTCCTCGTCCTTGTCCAGTCCCGCCTCAGCATTGCTATGAAGGCTGGGCAGGATGGGCCTCAGGAACCGGAATTCGCTCCTCCCCGAGCCGCTGGTCAGACACATTTCGTAGCGGTAAGCCGGCGACAGAGTACCCGTGCTGCCCACGCCGTCGCTGGCGAAATCTCCATCCGCGTAGCAGCTGGGAGAGGGAGGAGGAAGCTCTGCCCGGACACGAGCTTTGCAAAGCGTGTTCGCCGTCAAGACGAGGACGGACAAGAGGAAAAGGGACGAGACGCAGCACAGGGAGGCAATGAGGTAAGTGGTGAGCATTTCCTCCTCGGCTATCTGCGGCTGCAGTCGGCTCGCAGGATCGTGGCCAAGCTGGTGAAAGGCGTCGGAGAATTCGTCCACCAGTGCCACGGCGAGGGTGGCAGTGGCAGAGCGCGACGGCTGCCCACGGTCCCGCACCAGCACGATGAGCCTCTGCCGGGGCGCGTCCCTCTCTGTCACGGCCCGCGCCGTGCGCACCTCGCCGCTGTGCAGCCCCACGCGGAACAGCCCCGGCTCCGTGGCCTTGGCCAGCTCGTACGACAGCCACGCATTCTGCCCCGCGTCCGCGTCCACCGCCACCACCTTGGCCACCAGGTAGCCGGAGGGTGCCCAGCGCGGCACCAGCTCTCCGGCCGCGCTGCTGTCGGGGCCCGGGTGCAGCAGCACGGGCGCGTTATCGTTCTCGTCCCGCACGACGATGCGCAGCACGGCCTGGGCGCTGAGCGGCGGGGAGCCGCCGTCGGCTGCGCGCACTGTCACCTCCAAGGCGCGCACCTTCTCGTAGTCCAGCGGGCGCAAACTCCGGACGGTTCCACTCTCCGCATCCACTGACACGAATGATGCCGTGGCGAGGGTGCCTGGCGGCGGCGGCACTAGCGAGTATCTTACGTGGGCATTCTCTCCCGCATCCGGGTCCGTGGCACTGAGGTGGCCCAGGCTCCTCCCCGCGGGCTCGTTTTCGCTAATCACCATGGTGTAAATGGCCTGGGTGAAGGTGGGTGCATTGTCGTTCACATCCAAGAGCCGCACGAACAGGGTCTTGGATGCTGAGAGGGCGGGGGAGCCCTCGTCTCGAGCTCGCACCGTCACGTTGTATTCCTCCACCTGCTCCCGGTCCAGCGTCTCTGATGTCACCAGCGCGTACGCGTCGGCTGCCAGCAGCGTGATCCTGAAGGGTTGCTCTCCTGTCAGCTCGCAGGTTGTCCTGCCATTGTCCCCCGAGTCCCGGTCCCGCACGTTGAAGAGGGCCACCACGGTGTTGGGAGGGGCGGCTTCCGAGAGAGTGCTGGTGAGCGAGGTGATGATCACCTCGGGGGCATTATCATTCACGTCCTTCACCTGCACCTCCACCTTGCAATGCGTGGAGAGGCCCCCTCCATCTGTAGCTTGGACGTCTATCTCGTATGTCTTTTTTTCTTCATAATCCAAAGGCTTTTTGAGATGAATCTGACCTGTCTCTGGGTTTATTTTAAACGTTTGGAGATTTTCTTCTGAATTTTGAAATATGGAATACACTATTTCCCCATTCGTTCCTGCGTCTAAATCGCTAGCAGACACTACCACCACTATGGTGTCCTCTGAGCTGTTTTCCATTACAGAGACTTTATACAGACTCTGAGTAAATACCGGGATGTTGTCGTTTGTATCCAGGACTATCACGCGGATTAAAGCCGTGCCAGACCGCGGTGGATTCCCACCATCCCCAGCCGTGATGATGAAAGCAACTTCTGCCTGCTGCTCCCGGTCCAGGGCTCGATCCAACACCAGCTCGGCGTACCTCCCGCCGCCACTCCGCCGCTGGGTGTACACATGGAAATATTCGTTCGAGCTGATACTATAATGCTGAAGGCTATTGTTCCCCACGTCTGGATCGTGAGCGCTTTCCAACAAAAACCGAGTCCCCGGTATTGCAGATTCCGGGATCTTTAAAACAATTTCTTTATTTAGGAACACAGGAGCATGATCGTTTATATCGGTGAGTCTTACCTCAGCTCGGAAGGACTGCAGTGGGCTCTCCAGCAGCACCTCAAAACGCACCAAGCAGGGCTCGCTCTGTCCACACAGCTCTTCCCGGTCCATCTGCTCTCTCACCACCAAATCCCCGGTGTGCTGGTTCAGCTGTAAATACTGTTTTTCTCCTTCGGGAACGACTCGAGCCTGACGGGCCAATAATTCCTCACCAGTTAGTCCCAAATCCTTAGCGATATTCGCCACAAAAGAGCCTCTCCCCGCCTCTTCGGGCACAGAGTACCGAGCGGTTTCTGCTGTTAACCCCGAGACGCAGAGGACAAGGATCAGAGCCGCCGCTCGCCCCGGGAGCGGTTCCTCACTCTTCCTCGGCTTCATTCCCTTCCAGAGACCCGATCTCCTCTCCTGTAAGCTGGATGGAGCTGCCGACAGAGCCTGCCGACCCCCGAGCGGAGCAGCCCGAGATGGCGCAGCCCCGCCCGCCTGAATCGCGGGGGCTGCGGAATGGGAGCTGCGCGGAGCTTCCGCGGTCAGCAGCGGCACCAGGCGGCCGATCAGTAGAAGGATTCGAAGATTTCCCAGCTCAGAGCCTGGAAAGCAGAGATTAACGGCTCGTTTTCTCTCTTCCTAGGTCAAAGCATAGAGATTTAAATGTCCATACAACCGTATTCAAAGTATGGCCACTGGCTGAATGAGCAATGCCTTTGTTTGCCTTCTACTTCAAAACTGAGTTTATTTAAAGCCAGGTTGTTCCTCTTGTTTTGGTTCCCCCTCCCTTCCCCCCAGTGTGAACGCTTTGAATAAATCACTTTCCGGCTATTCAGCTAGAACAGCAGTGTATTGTTACAGCGGCCCAGCCACCAGGCGAGGTGGTCTTTTAACCACGGCTAAAGGTGGTCTTTTAACCAGCTATTGCCAGAGTCCTTCTCGGAATGCACAGAGATCGTTCCCGCGGTTCACCACCTCTTCTGCTGGGAGCCTTTGGGAATGGGCTGGAGGCAGCACCTCACCTCAGCTCCACTCAGAAAAAAACTCCTCCGCCTTGCTCCGACTTCTGAGACCATCCTATTTCCCAGGTCGTTCTGATTTCCCCTGCATAAATTCCACTCCAGATGCACGGATTTATTCCCGAAATCCTGCTCTTGAGTTGGCTATTTCCTCGGCCATGACTGTGGCAAGGGATCTCGAGGCAGCACACTCACCCGAAGGAGTTCCAAGTAGATTTTATTGTTTTCTGTCATCACTCATATGACTCTTTAAAATGGTTCAACGACAGGAATTATCACATTACTTTATAGTTTAATACCGACTGACGAAAGAAAACCAGAAAGTTCTTGACACCCTATATTCTACAGTGTCCTAAGCTAATTGTAAATGGTTTCATCTCTTTTACTGAAAAACCACAAACAATACTTTTAATTATCTTGGTTTTTAAAAATGGTTAAATAATATTTTCAACTTTATGGAAAAAAAAGAAAGGAAGAAAGAATACATTGCTCAAAGCCCACTCTTTACAATTAAGAGAGCCTGTAAGCTCCTGGTCAAATATGCCAAGTGTGCCAATGCCAGTAGTTCAAAATGTAACCAGCTTCTCCTTATTTTGTAAGAAATTCCTTTGCAAGCACCACTTAATTTTGCATAATATCTGTTTCACCTGGTGTTGAATACACGGCAGAAAATTTAGATATTATTACAAAGCTCTCTCCATAAAAAGAAAGAAACAAACAAAGCATGAAAGGAAACCCCCCAGAGAAGGCAGTGTAACAAGAAGTTAAAGATCTGCTGCCAGATTTCAGTATTTCTCAAAGCATGTGGAAGCAGTAGCATTCTCACAATCATACATTATTATGTAATCAACATACAGCACGATTCTCCTTCTCCATCGACATTACAATTACAAAATACCTACGTGAATAAAATACTGCTTAAGGGGAAAGTACTCTCACAGAGAAGGTTTAATCTCCCTGGTACTTTTTAGAGATGTGTTTGGTCTCTTTGTTCCTTTTCCCCTGTGAGGACAGACAAACTTGTCTTTCTTTCCATTTATTGATGGGTGAGCCAAGGGTTTTGCTCAGAACTGGCATTTAGCTCCAGCTCCCTGTTTGCGGGGCAAACTGCATCTGCAGCTCTGGGCCTTGTATCTTCAGAGAGGGGAGCACTGCCCTGCAAAGAACAAAGAGAGCTGTTGTCATTTGGTGCTGAAGGAAAGCAGGCGTCACCGAGAAGCTTAGAGGATGTGTCTTACGCCACTGCCTGCATCACACCACTCCTCTCTACCGAGAGCCAAAGAGAAGGCAAGACTTGGTGGATCTCTGACCTGAATGGAGAACACCTAAAGCCAGAAACCATCCTCCAAAAAGGTACTATTGCAAAACCTTAATGAGTCTCTATAAAACTTTTATGAGTTTTGAGTAATTTGAAATGGTGAGAGCCCCAAACAGAAACCAATTTCTCACAAACAGTAAATGTAGTTTAAAGTTGATATATCAAGAAGGGTCCTTGTCTTCCCTGAGGCTGATGTAGTTCTGACACCCTGCAGTAAAGTGAGTCCAGGTCATCGGTGGTTATGAAATACAAAAATATTAACTGATCCTGATGGTGTTTGTGTTTCTCCGACCTCATATATGTTCATTATCCTGTCTACTGTGAAATGCTAGATGGATCCTTGGACACTCTCCATAGAGTCCCCATACTAAATCCCATACTAAGAGAGGGCTGACTCTGATAACCACACTTTTCTGGCCAACACTATCCATGCAAGTCACAAAAATATAAGAGAATCTAAGGGCAGAGGTTCCCACCTCCGTAACCTCCAGCGGTTTGTAAGACAGCTTGAGTTCAGCACTGCCACCACCCTGGTGAATGGCACATGGCAGCACGGAGTGCCAGCTCCCAACAGCAGCGCAGAGGACATCGCTGGTGACACCCCTTTGCACAGCTGTCCCCACAGTCCCATCTGACGCTGGACAGGTCGCTACATTCCTGTTACTGCCACCTCTGGGAGGACAGATCCCTAGGAATAGTGTCATTCCTGCTCCAGGGCCCTACAGGCTGTACACAGTGCGTGAGCAGAACCCACATGTCTGCAGGTACGCAGTTTGTGGCAATTGGGAGTGGGGCTGCGGCCCAGCCGATCCCTAATGGGCTACAGCTCTGCAGGACAGGGGAGCAGCATTGAAGGCAATGAGATCTGGAGTGCCAGGTGCACTGACCAACCACAAAAAGGTAGAGAGGACGCACAGGTGCAATGCATGAACATGAAGGGCATAAAAGGTTGAGCTAAAGAACAAGAAGGGAAGACGTTTGGAACATTTTGAAGTGGTATAGTATTAATCTGTACAGGCTGATGCTCGAAGCCTTCTGAAATTGTATGGTAATACTCTGTATTGTGGCCATCTCAGCTGTGACACAGCTCTACCTGTACTTTTCACCTTCCATAGTCCAACTCCTCCCTTTGAAGTGACACCAAAGACTTCATCTATCACGAATAGATGTGGGTGCAGCTGCCCAGAGAAGTGATGGGTACCCCACCTCTGGAAATATCCAAGGTCAGGTTGGATGGAGCTCTGAGCAACCTGATCTAGTTGAATGTATCCGTGATCATTGCCTGACGGTTTGGACTTAAAGGCTTTTAAAGGTCCATTCCAACCCAAAATGTTCTATCCTTCTATGATGTAGAGAGGTGTGGTTAGTCAGCATTTCGAGAGCAGCTGAGCCCTGTTGGATCCTCCTGGGATACCTCTCCAGCAGTTCTGAGATGCCTTCTATCATTTCCTCCCACCCCAGGGACTCCTTCACTAGCAGATCTGCAGCTTCAATAGTCCTTGCTCCCAGGGCTTGTCACGCCTCCCTCCCGCCTGCCCGATCGCCCTGTCAGTCCCTCACCTGTGCAGTCCAGTCGCCCTCGCCGCCGAAGTTGGCCGCATCCTGCGAGCACACCGAGCTCCTCTGCTCGCCCGGGCCGGGAGGCAGCCCGGCGGGGAAGCAGGGGAAGAGCGGCCTGAGGAAACGGAACTCGCTGTTGACGGTCCCGGCGGCGAAGCAGACGTCGTACACGTAGCTGCGGGGCAAGGAGCCCGCGCTGCTCTCCGTGCCAGTCGTCGGGAATGTGGGCAAATTCTCCGTCTCGCTCCGCCTGGCCCGCCGCACCTTCACTACCACGGCGGCCGCCGCGGTGGCGAGGAACAGCGCCGACACGCACACGAGGGAGGCGATGAGGTAAAGAGTAAGCGGCCCGTCGGGCTCGGCGGCCGGTGCCTCCTCACTCACCCGCAAATGGGCTTCGGAGAAGCCGTCTACCAGTGCCACGGCGAGGGTGGCAGTGGCAGAGCGCGACGGCTGCCCACGGTCCTGCACCAGCACGATGAGCCTCTGCCGGGGCGCGTCCCTCTCTGTCACGGCCCGCGCCGTGCGCACCTCGCCGCTGTGCAGCCCCACGCGGAACAGCCCCGGCTCCGTGGCCTTGGCCAGCTCGTACGACAGCCACGCGTTCTGCCCCGCGTCCGCGTCCACCGCCACCACCTTGGCCACCAGGTAGCCGGAGGGTGCCCAGCGTGGCACCAGCTCTCCGGCCGCGCTGCTGTCGGGGCCCGGGTGCAGCAGCACGGGCGCGTTATCGTTCTCGTCCCGCACGACGATGCGCAGCACGGCCTGGGCGCTGAGCGGCGGGGAGCCGCCGTCGGCTGCGCGCACTGTCACCTCCAAGGCGCGCACCTTCTCGTAGTCCAGCGGGCGGAGGATATAAACATCCCCGTTTTCAGCGTTGACTGACACTTCGGGCTGCTCTTTGCCCTCATCCCGCACCAGCGCGTAGTTCACACGGGCATTTATTCCTGCGTCGGCGTCCGTGGCCTTCATGCTGCCGATCCGGAGCATGGGGCTGTTGTTCTCCGTGACAGACATGGTGTAAACCTCCTGGGTGAACTCTGGGGGGTTGTCGTTCACATCCGATATCTTCACGAAGATGGTTTCCTGAGAGCTCAGCCGCTTCCTGCCCCAGTCCATGGCTGTGATGGTAATGTTATACTCCGCCGTCCTCTCCCTGTCCAGAGCCGCGTTTGTTCTCAGTTCATAGTAATTATCAAAAGTGGGGGCGAGACTGAACGGCAAGTCCCCGTCGATGGAACACTCCGTCCTGCCGTTGTCCCCGGAGTCCCGGTCCCGCACACTGAACAGAGCCACCACGGTGCGTGGCGGGGCGTCCTCGGGAATGGAGGCGCTGAGGGAGGTGAGCGCTATCTCCGGGGCATTGTCATTCACGTCCAGGACCTCCACCTGCACTTTGCAATGCCCAGACAGCTCTCCGCCGTCCGTGGCTTTCACCACCATCTTGTGGGATTTTGCTTCCTCAAAATCCAGCTTGCCCGCGACTCGTATTTCACCGGTGGTCGGGTTCAGCTGGAAGAGCTGCCGGGATCGCTCTGATGTCTGGGTAAAGGCATAACGCACTTCCCCGTAGGACCCTTCGTCGGGATCCGCGGCAGCGACTCTGACCACCAGCTGCTCCAGGGGGCTGTTCTCAGCCAGGCGCACCTCGTAGGTCTCCCTCTCGAAGACAGGAATATTGTCATTGGCATCCACAACCACGATTCGGACCTGAGCCGTGCCCGACCTGGGTGGTGACCCCCCATCGGTGGCGGTCAGAAGTAAATTCAGTTCTGCCTGCTCTTCACGATCGAGCTGGCGCTGTAGAACAAGTTCCAGGTATTTTACTCCATCTTTCGCTGTTCCAACAGCGAGGGAGAAATGAGGATTGGGCCCGAGGCTGTAGTTCTGCAAACCGTTAATGCCCACGTCCTTGTCCTGGGCGCTTTCCAGGGGGAAACGGGAGCCAGGAGATGCTGTTTCTAGAATTTTTAAAACCATCTCCTTCTCCGGGAACACGGGCGAATTGTCGTTTACGTCACGAACTTCCACCTCCCCTCGGATAAGCTGCAACGGATTTTCAAAGAATATCTTAAAGATGAGCGTGCAGGTGTCGCTCTGAGGACAGATCTCCTCCCGGTCCAGCGATTCCTTTGCCGTCAGGACTCCGGTGTTTTGATTGAGCCGGAAAAGCTGCTCGTTCCCCTCGGACACAACGCGGGCTTTGCGAGCCGCAAGCTGGCTCAGAGGAACCCCCAGGTCCTTGGCGATATTGGCGACAAAGGAGTCCCTCTCCATTTCCTCCGGCAGAGAGTAGCGGAGGGTTTCAGCCCCGCTCTGACACACGCAAACATACAGAATAAACAGGATCACTTGCCTCTTTCTGTCTCCGCTCCTTCTCCCACACGTCATCACTCTCCAAAAAAGACGTCCACCGTCCTCGGTGGCTCCCAGCATTTTTTTAGTAGCGTCCCAAAAAGAGCGGTGTGGGCCAGCAATCCTGGGGTGAAGGAATCTGGAAGCCCCGGAGTGCTCCGACTCCTCTGCGAGCAGCTCAGCCCACACGGTTTTTTTGTCTCCCTGTGTCTGCAAACCCTGGGCGGACCGAGGAACGCTCCGGTCCGCGGCCAACATCCCCACCCAGCGTCGGCAGGGGGAATATTTCTTCTCAATCGGGGCAGCGCTGCTGGTTCGGGGTTTGCTGCTTGAACCCGCACTCTTTGTGCCAAAGAGAAGAAAAAGGTGCGGTGTAAAAGCTCTCCTCTCTCGGAGAGAGCTCCCGCGTACAGAGCTCTGCTCTGGGTATCACATCCCAACTCGCCACCACGAACTCTTCATACACAGCTTTTGGTTTGCGTCGTGTAGACACGGCAAGTTCCACTGCCACAGAAGAGATTTTCCTTCTCTTCTCCACTTGTTAATCAGCACAGGGCGATTAGCAAGCGGGGCAAGTCAGAGAACTTTTGAAAATGAGAGCTGTTGCCAGAGAGCTCACAAGGAATTGTCCCTAAGTAAACGTTTCAGTATCACCCCAGGACGCCACCACAGCAGAATGATAAAGTTGTCCTAGGACACATTATCCTAAAGCTGTTCTTTTCTTACTGGGTATCACACCTCGCCTGACTTTTACACTTTTTTACGTGAAAAAGATGCTAAACTTGCAGTCCCGTATCTGCCTTAGGATGTATGGCCCACAGCCGGTTAATATGAAAGGCAAAGAAACAAACAGGGAGGTTCTGAGCTAAACTCCTTACACAAACACCAGTGAGGAGCTAACGGAGACAATAGCAAAGATAAGGCTAATTGATCACGCTAATTGACAGGCCATTAAAAGAATAACTGAAACGTAGACCTCAGAGGTTCAACACAAAACTCTGTAAAAGATAAAGGAAAAGAAAAAAGTTCTAAAGATTCTCAAAATAAAAAATGTCATGGAAAAGAACTAATTGATTACGAAGGGTTTGAGGGGGGCTCCAGAAATTTGCAAGGCTTATGATGAGATGATTAGAGGCAGAATCAAACTCGCTAAGAGGGAGATGTCTAGAGCAGACCTGTTAGGAACAACCGTGGGAAAACGGAGGTGGAAGAGGATATCGAGGGGTACTGGGAGGCAGAATTCGTGCCGGGAACCAGATAAAAACCTCAGCGTCAGGCAGGCACGGCTGGCCCCAAAGACAGATTTACGCCTGGACTGCTTCTGCGACGCATGCACTGAAGATGTGCACAGCTGCCTGCGAGCCCAGTCCAACCTTTCTCTTAGAGAATTAAAAAATGAAGGAGGGAACAAAATAGTGCTTGTATTATTTACCTGTGCCTCGAGCATTTTTAGTTCGGATTTTACTACAAAAGAAACTACGCTATTAAAAATTATTATTATAAAGTATCACAACCCTCTTGGGTTTGGTACCTTTTCTTTAATTCCCTAGACGTTTCCCCCTTATTTTTGTTTGCTAAAAGGAGTGACGCTGTCAAACAATAACTCAAGAGGTCAAGTCCTAGAAATCTTCTGATGTCTTAATTTGTTTTAAAATAAAAAAAACTTCGTGCCTGTATCAGTAGGAGAAAACAACAACTAGGGTTGACTTCGGGTTCCCGAAGATCTTGCGCGAAAGAAGTAATTTCCTCTTATTGACCCTTGATTTGGACTCGTGATAAGATCTAAACCACTGACATACATCAAAGGGCAGCTCCTCCTTTCTTCCCTTCCAGGGACACATCCATGGCTCGAGCTGCCATCATTATCCCCAAGAGAGAAGTCAAACCGTAGTCTAAGCACAGCAGCAGATGTGCTGGGAAAGTGGCTTCTCTCTTTTATTTTCCCATGCAGAAATAACTGTGACACCTGTAATCCACTTGCTTTGTGCCTTTTTTCACCTCCGAGGGGGAAATATGTATTTCCTTCTACTTATCCTAATCTTGGCATCACTGCGCAGCACGGGGAAAGACACAGGCCGAGAAGCGCTTCCACTGACATTTCTTACCCTGAGAGCAGGAGCTCAGTTATTTTTGCTGCCATCATTTCAGAGAGGAAATCGTGTCCTTCAGCTCCAGCTGTAGAAGGGTGTAAGAAGAACAGTGATCCCTAACGGAGCTCTTGGCTGTAACAATATCTTTGCTCATCAGAAGATTCTGCTCTTCAACAGACGTTTATATTTTTTCAGATTTTAGAGAAATTATAAAGAGAGTCATTTACCGTGCAGAGCTAATGCTGGTGTTTTCCTTTGGGTCACAACAGTGAAATGGATGGGTATTCATTAAAAAAAAAAAAAGTTTGAACAATGCCAGACGGAGGCAACTGTATTTTAGGACAAACGCAGGAACTATACCCATTATAAGAAAGATTTGCATGAATGTGCCAGAGAATTCACTTATCTCCTCGGGCATACCGTGATACCACAGGCTTCCTCATATTTTGTTTTAGTGATGACATTTTTTCTAAGAAGAACCAAAAAACCATCTCTCTTCACTCTGTCATTTAAAGCTTTATGCTAGAAAAGCATTACAGCAGCATATCCTGCTCAGTTCCTGGTATGGCTCCTTGTTTCAGAACACAGAGGTGCTAAAAGAAAATTCTGCCCGAAGTTCCGAAGCCTGTGAGCAACTTCAATTTCCAAAATCCTTCTTGATCTTTCATATGGGAATTCAGATCTGCTGAATGAAACCGTGCCCGGTTTTGTGGTCCCCTCAGATAAAGGCTTCTTCTCCATCTCTGGAGCCACTGTCCGCTCCCCTTCAGCACACCCTGAGGATAGGATGGTGTGAGAGGAGCCTGCAGAGCAGAGGAACAGATACTTCCCAGAGTCACAGCGTTTTCCATGCCCGAGTGCAAGGATGGATCAACACTCCCGACCTCTCCTTCCCAGAGAGCTCCCAGGATGGATTTCTTTTGTCTCTGTAACGATCAGGCTGCATCCCGAATTCCCAGCTATCCTGCGGAACTGGGGCTGGAGCTCTTAGCTGGATGCAAAGCTGAGGAAAGCAGGGAGAATAATTCCTAACCTTCTAGCTCTCGGTTTTGTTGTCAATACCACGGGTACCTGTTCTGAGGCTCATTTTTCAAGAGATACACCAGCCTCCTCCCTCTGTCTGCACTCAGTACAGCGAGTGCTTTCCCCACCAGTCTGTTATAAGCAAATGTTTATTCCTCCCGCTAGTAACTCTGTGCTTACCAACCAACCGACCCTGTGCTACCCCAAATCTTCGGTGAAATCCTCCCAAATCCCGCACGGATGGGCCTGGGAGGCCTCTCCGTCCTTCACACTCCCTGTTTCACCTTGTGCGCTTGGCTTTTCCAGGCACGTCTCGATGCGGCGATTCCCAGCACATCCTTTGGAAAGGCTTTAAACCAAACCGGGGCTTATTCCGGAGCATCCGGGGCGTTTCTGCGGGGCTCTCCGGCGCTGCCAGCCCCGCAGTGTCTCACGGCTGCTCGCTGGGCTCCCCCCGCCCCGCCCCGCCCCGCCCCGCCCCGCCCCGCCCCGCAGCGGCAGCGCTGGCCAAGAGCGCCGCTGGGCGGCGGGCGCAGGAACTGCACCGGGGAAGTGCCCCGAGCCTCGGCTGGGATCTCCTCTCTCGCCTTCAGGCTACGGAAGGGCGAATTCTCAAATGTATTTCCCACCTGGACTCTTTGGTACATAAATGTGCTCCATTAGTGTTTGTTGAGATGTTTGGTTTGGCGTTAATAATCCAGGCAAACGTGAAACGTCCTACACAAACCTTCCATCAAATGTGCTGAACAAAGACACGGGCAAACCTAGTAAACATTGCTCATGTGCTGTGCACTACATTTTCCAGAAGCTAGGAATAAAGGCGTCTTCAAGCACGGGCTGTCTGGAGGAGGCTGAGTTTTGAATACGTTCTATTTCAGAAGGCGATCTCCAACTGTGGGTTGAGCTCTCCTAAAATATTCCACAATAAGAACCAATTCAGTAATAACAGCAGCACCAACACCTGCTGCCCCTTGGATCAGCTGCAATAGATTCCCAAAGAATATCTTAAAGATGAGCCTGCAGGTATTGCTGTGTGGCCAGATCTCCCTCCCCTTGGTCCAGTGACTCCTTTAAAGTCAGGATTTCAGTGTTTTGACTGGGGCAGTAATGCTGCTGCTGCTCCTCAGACACAGCAGAGAACATATTTCTCCCTAGGTAGCAGCATTTCCTTTCTAATGACACCAGTTCACGAGTCCATCTGCTCTAAAACCTCCCTGGGTACCTTCCAGCTTCAAAGAATAATGGAAAATCTTTTGCTTCCAAAGTCTAAGTTCATTTATTTCCTCAGAGACATTCTGCATTCTCCAGTCTCCAAAGACAATTCTGGACAGAAGATACCTGCCAGACTGACAGAAAGCAGGTTTAGATGAGGTATTAACAAGAAATTCTTTACTGTGAGGATGGTGAGGCCCCGAGGCTGCCCAGAGAAGCTGTGGCTGCCCCGTCCCTGGAACTGTCCAGGTTAGGCAGGGCTTGGAGCTACCTGGGATAGTGGAAGGTGTCCCTGCCATGACAAGAGGTTGGAACAAGATGATCTTTCCAATCTAAACCATTCTGTCATGGTATGTGTGCTTAGACCTTTCCGATCCTTCAAAGGCAACAAATTCTCTCCTCTATATCCATGACAATCTCATTTGGAAATAAATCCTCTCTGCTGCAGCACTTTACCACCTTTTGAATGCCTTTTGAAGACAATTAAGTATTTTCATCTTTTCAAACTTTGTGCTTAGTGGGATCAAATTTCTCCAGCTTCAGTCTCACTCCTAGGTCAAATATGTAGACATTTTCTTCACAAATCCCTAAACCCACGTGGGTTTTTTATGTCCTGAGGTCTCAAATGGCCAACAAATAATTTCAGTTTCTAGAAGATGTGGGACAAATGTCCTCAGCTGAGATTTTTTTTTCCCCATGTTCTTTTGTTCAATTTCTTTATGACTCCTTCCACAGTTTCCTGCAGTGGCTGTTTCAGTTGATTCACAGGAGATATTCAAATGGAAACTCACATGTTCAACAGTTAAGCATCACAAGGTTTTCAGGTATTTCAAGTTCACTGGGTAAATAGCCTTGGCTTTCTCTGTGCTTTTCATGAAACAGCAAAGAACAGGATAATTTTCTCAGTGACATTTGGAAAGCCTTGAAAAAGACATTTCAGGGAGGGAAGTGCCACACAGGCATTCATGAACAGGGCCAAGAATCCTCAGGCTTGTGAAGAAATCTTTCTATGATTGGCTACCCAAAGGTAAGAATTTGAAGTGTTTGAAGTCAGGTGACTGAGAATTATAATAAGAAAGTAAGAACCAGGCAGACCATATGCTGTCCAGGGCAGAGAAATAGCATATTTTATCTTAAAAGGACATGTCAGGAAGGAATGGATATGGGAAGAGGTTGGCTTTGGACAGGCTAATTTTGGAAATCTGACTGGTCATCTGAGCAAGGCTATTGCAAGGACAAATTCTGAAATCCTCATTTTGTGCCTATATATATATATATATATATATATATATATATATAATATATATATATCAGGGAATTCAGTTGAGAAGTAAATTTGAAAGTGAAGGAGAGGGGGAGAGCAGAAGGAGGGGACAGCAGTGGCTAGAGGAGGGAAAGATGCTATGCAAGAGGGACCAAGAGAGGATAAGCATGAAGCTCTTTGGTTGACAAGGCTGACCAAGCAGGGGAAGGACAAAGAAACACAGGTAGGATCCATCCTGGGAACAGCTTAGGAAGGGCTGGTTGATGTGGCACCTGTAAGAGAAGAATCACCATAGGCATTAAAGGGAGAGTGGGGTCCGATCTACCAGAGTAGAAAGGGTATTGGGAATTCTGTGGAGAAGCAGGAAGGGCAATAAATCCACTTAGAAGTCAAAGCAGCTGCATGGATCAGAAAGGAGCCAAAATAGACACTAAGGAGGAAGAAATAAATGAGTGATGTAGGAAGAAACTGTGTATATGATCCTTTAAGCTTGCACTGGTCTTTCTCCAATTCTGTGTCTAGCTTAAGGCTTAGATTTCCTCACTTCCACCTTTCTTCCTCAGAATGCCTTTCTTTCTGATGGGAGAGCAGAAAAATTATCAGAAGGTAGCAGCAAACCAAAAGGAACCCTCTATCACAGCCAGTGTAATGGGAAGTGTCCAGTACCCAACTTTGTCTCCTGATGCCAGGTTTGGCCCTTCTGCAAGCCAGGTTCTGAATCCTGTACCCCTGGGATGGCATGGACATACTGAGGTCAGCCCTGGAAACCAGGGCCCAGTGCTACCTAAAGGGAAGGTCAGAGGAGAAGGGATTCCAGCACAGCTTCATGGGCAGCCTGGTCACTGCCTGGAAGGAAATCAGGAGTTCTGAACTGAGGTGTTCAAAGGAGGCATGTTGGTGTGGCTTTTTTACTTTTTCACAAATGGGATGGGACTGCTGGGATCTGTTCCTTGAGCTTTATTTGCAGCATCAGCCTCATTACATGGTTGAGACAGTAGGAAGATGGCAAAGCTCACATACAGCCAGCAGCAGCCAAAGATTTCTTTGTTACAGAGCATCTTAAAAACTTTTTAGCCAATAACACACTGCTAAAGTTTACAGACAGTTGTTTTAGCCAATTAATAAAAGCACATGTACACCTGCTTCACAGAATGCTTGCTTTTCTTATACACAATACTCCAGAATTAAGCTTAAAAACTTCTACTACCTTGCTAAGCATATTTTTCTGGAGTCTTAAGGTCTATCTTAGCCAAGCTATTGCTAAATGTCCTTGCTTGCTATACCATTGTAACTTCTTCTGCTTTCAGATTTTGCAGCTGCAGCTAGCTCTAAATTTTGTGTTCTTTCTGTTTCTAAGGCCTGCTTTCCCAGCTTTCTGAAAATCTTCTTGCCTTTACTAATTCCCACAAGACAGAGATCAAGGGAGTTATGGTGTTTGCTCATGGCACAGGTGAGCACAGATGCACCAACACCAGGGATCACCCCTCAATTAATGTCTAATGCTTCTGAAGACACAGAGACCAGCTCAGCACTTAAATAAGTGGCCAACACTATTTCTAAACCACATCCAGCCAAGTGGTAAGAGCTGTGTAACCCCAGCATGAGGGAAATCTGGCTTATGTTTTACTGAAACAGCAGAGATGTCCTTTTTTGGGAGGATACTTGGGAAAGGAAAGGGGTTTGGGACCCTCTGTTTAAGTTCCTTTGTTCTCAGCTGCAGGTCACTTTCTCCCACATGATTCCAGTAGTAACTGCAAACCAGGCACTGTCTGGGATCACAGGCTGGCCCTTGAACCTCTGACACAGCTAAACCATCCCCCAGAAAGCAGTGTGACCAGTGAATTACCTGGATCATCATTTACACAAAGCAGTGGAGTTTAGACTCTGTTATCCCATTTGTATCTTGTATTTTATTTTATTTTTAAAAATTTTTGTATTTTGACAAAGCTGGGCAATGAAAAGCTGTCTTTTTTTTTTGAATAATCCTTTGATATGTTGTTGTTTTTGAACAACAACATGTAGATACTCTGAAAAAAAAGAAACTTCCAGAAAAAAAGAGACTTGCAGAAAAGAGTTTATTCACTGTTTAGGCAGCAGACAGGTACTCATACCTTTATCCCATTTTCTAAAGGAGGGGACACACTGGCAAAGACAAACTGAAAACCAATTTCAAAACAGATGCACAAACACTGTTCCTAGTGAAAAACTATAAAGTAAACAGATACAAACCCAACACATTTAGCAGGTACCATTAAAAGTGTATGACAGCTAATTTACTTTCCAAAGAGTTTATATCTGGATAGGTAAAACACAATCCTAATGTCATGATACTCCTACTGCCAGGTTCATACATTTGAGAGGGGGGAAAAAGGGTATTTTTATATTAAAACCCCTGGATTGCATCAATGATGGGGAGGGCTAATAGAAAACAGCTGGTAGTCCTGTATATCTGTAATATATAAAATTATTGCTGCTTTTTTTTGGCCAGGCTTGACCAGATGAGACTTGTAAGCTCTTTGGGATCACTTAAATGTAGTTTATTGACCAGCAGCAAGTCAGTCCTTGCCCTGGGAGCGGCATAGACTGTGGGGTCTAGCCCGGCCGCTGCAATTCCCACATTTTCCACCAGATCGCAGCCGCCACAAAGGAAAAAGGCAGCGGAGAATCTGCAAGTCACGGGAAGGAGCGGCGGGGCTGGACCGGGAACAGCCGGGCTCGGCAGCATCGCGGGGCCGGCTAGGGAGGGACAATCCGCCGGAGAGAGGCAGGTTTCTTTATTATCTATCTGTCTGTCTGTCTATCTATCTATCTATCTATCTATCTATCTATCTATCTATCTATCTATCTATCTATCTATCTGTCTATCTATCTGTCTATCTATCTATCTGTCTGTCTATCTATCTGTCTATCTATCTATCTATCTATCTATCTATCTATCTATCTATCTAT